GGAGTAAAACCCTAATCTCAAATGATGCCAAAGGACACAGTTAACAGTATGTGACCATGCTGGGGAAAAAAAGAAAAGAAATAATAAATAAATAGATCAACCTGGACTGCAGCAGCCAAAATACTTCAGACATACTACATAGCAGTGAAGTAAATGAAATCCACATTTAGGTGGTGAGTTCATAGAAACCGTAGCGAGCATCCTATGTATCACCAGGACCTCTGAGGTCATCAGAAAACAGCTTAATCTGTGTTTTCAGGACTAGACTTCAACACTTTAATAAACTATTTATCTTAGATGTTTTTATCTATGTAGGTTTATTAATGTCTAACTTTATTATGTTAAAAATGATTTCTTTACACCTGTAAGTGCCTTTTTTTCCCAAATGAAAAGAAACACATACTAATACCACAAACTAGGACAATATTTTACTCTCCATTGTGATTAAAGACATAATAAAAGCCAATACTGACCCAATAAATCTGTATTACTTACAGCAGGTAAGAATAGCTTCTCATCTCAAAACTAACCTTAGATCTTGGGACTTATTGTTAATAATGAAAAGCCTGACGGAAGTATAATGAAAATATGAAATCACTTCCAAAGGTTATCATGTTCCTTTTATTAGAAAACAATAAAAACAAGCAGAAGCCCATTCTGCTCAGTCAGTATTATACAGACCTCATCAATTATTTTACTCATTCATATGTGATGAACACAGCATGTATATACATTTGCTTAAGGATCAAAATGATTATTTTATGGGTAAAAACTCTGTTAACAGACTTAACAGTTTATTATTGAATTAAATAGAAAAATAGGCAAAAGTAAACGCATATGTGCATTACAATAGGTTCTAAGGTTAGAATAAATTAAAAATCAGGGACTGTCTTGAATTTCTAACATCATCTGTTGTGTCTTCTGCTAATCTGCTTCACCTATGTGCTGTATTTACAGACGTGTGACGCAGATCTAACAGACAGAGCAGTGCTGTGCTATCTGATGACAACTAACGTTCTTCTTCTGATTCAGTTTTATCTTTCTCTAACAGTGACTGAAATCTATCCACATCCGATTCTTCGCCGCCATCTGTTATCATCTACTGAAGAAGCAGTTAGTTTATGTGCTTATGTTCCCTTTTTATGTCATGATTGAGCAACAATTTCACAAAAAATCTGGAAGACATTTTTTTTTTTTAAATAGGGATATTTTACCCATATTTGTTAAAAACTCCTCATTTCAATGGAGCGACGTTCATTTTACCAGGATTTTATCAGTGTTTATACATATATATATATATATATATATATATGTGTGTGTATATAAATGTAATGAGGGGGAGGATGTCTCAGGCACTCTGAAAGATTGATGTCACCAGAATAAATGTTTATCCTGTTATTTGTTCATTTTACAATATTTAGGTTTAGCCAATATCTGGATTTAATCTGGTAGAAATCAGAAATGGATTAGAATAAGTCGACTGCTAAATCACAGATTCAAAACAAGCAGTCAGGATGGAGTTAACTCACCTTCCCATGGAAATTACGTATCTGGGCTCAGGCATCTGGTCGTACACCTGTTGGATGGAAGGAGCTTTTAGTTGTGGTTATATAAGAACGGCCTAAACTAATCTGTATATTCAGCTGGAGCTCCATGCCCGTCTGCCAATCCATCAACAGCCCGGTCCTAATCCAGCAAGCATTAACAGAGCTATAGTGTTCCCATCACTCCCACTTTGCACACAGAAATGTCTGACATTAAAATCAGTGATAGCAAGCTGAAAATGTAGAATTATACCTAATAGATATGAATTGAATAAGAGAAGGAAGAGGTTAAAGTATCGTCAGATAAATAGATCTCTAATCCAATGTTGATAATTGTTGGAGTTATCATTTGGTTTCTACACATTTAGATATACTTATTTAGAGTTTTAATAATGTTTAAAAATGAAAAATCAATGTTTTGATACAGTAATGGACAAAACACTGAACTGAGAAATGGTGATCTATTTCTGCAGACTGATGGATCGACAGTTGGACTGATTCCAGTGCGGATGTGACATCAAATGGACATCCACCAACATTCTCAATGAGGCAGCTTTTTTGGGAATTCAGAAAACTCCAGAGGAAATAGGGTCTTTACAGGAAACCAGGAAGTGTTAACCCATTTCTCCTCTCACCTTTCGCAGAGCTGGCGCCATCTTATTGGTCAGGGTTCCGGCCACAATCATGACATCGGCCTGGCGAGGGCTCGCCCTGAACACGACTCCGAAGCGGTCCATGTCGTAACGAGGGGCCGCCATGTGCATCATCTCCACTGCGCAGCACGCCAAACCGAAGGTCATGGGCCACAGAGAGCTCTGACAGGGAAAACATAGCAGTGATAAGAATATTTTTTTAATCAACATAAATATACCTTGATTTCAAGAAATTGCTAATGGAAGGCAAGAGCTCATATTACTGTAAATACTAGTTTAAATGAGCAGATATACATTTAATTAACCTTAAATATAAATAAAAGACCAATAAAATATACCTTTAATGCTAAATGTAGGCTCAGTGAAAATAATTATTTCTAATACCTAAATGGAGATTTTACCTTTTATTCTCATCAAAGCAGATGTTTTAATTTATTGGGATGTGGATTGCCATTCCTTCCCTAAAAATTATGGAAAAGTTCACGTTGTTGCAGATTGTTTATTTTTATAGCTCTTCTTAATCATGTTGTTAAATTGCTGCATGATAGAGGAACTAACATGAAGCTCATGTCACCTTCTGTCCCCCATATCAGCTGGTCAGTTGGTCAGTGAATTAAGCAGCCTCCTCAGAGGAGCAGAGGGAGGAACATTTGTGTTCTTAACATATTACTAAGTTTTAAAAAAAACTAAGGGTGCTCCGATCAGGATTTTTGGGGCCGATCACCGATTGCTGAAAGCAGTATTGGTTGATACCGATCACCAGTAACCGATCACTGGGTCTATCTGAAGCCTTCTATTTATCATGTAATATATTCAATTTTAATAGTCTTAACAAAAATGTATAGGTATTAAAATTAACCGAAGATAATGTATTGAATTGTCAACTGTATACTTTTATTAACAGGAAACGTTCAACATTTGACTTCCTTAGAAACATCTTAAACAGCTTAGAGCTTAACAAATAAGCCTTACTTCTAAATAAGATACAAAAAATCTGTCATTGTTAATTTACGCAAACTTAAAGTGCAGAGCAAA